CATTCCTGCCATTCAGAAGTGGGGCTTTGATTGTTAAACTTACCCACAGCCTCTCCACAACTTCAGGGGCTGTGTGATATGTTGGTTAGACCATCGGATTAAGATATGGGAAAGGCTTAAAAAGGTTTCCACACTGTCAGGAATTAAGATGATTGCCATTAAATGAATACAACAGATAAATTTTCTGTACAAAGAGAGCAGGCATTGCTTGTTTAGGGTAACAAGTGGCATAAGCACTAAACCAGGGCAGCCTCCCTCTTGTTTTTATTGTTCTCATTCCTGTTCCCCTCACCTAAGATCCTCCATCTCTTTTTTCTTCTTCATCTCCTCCTTCTCTTTCCGCTTCATTTCCTGGATCTGGGCCTTCTTCTCATTCCTCTCCTCCCGGTCACGGGCCTCCTTCTCTGCAGCCAGGTCTGGGAATCGCTCCGTTTTGGTCTTCTCCAATCGGTTCAAAATCTCATTCACCTTCTTCTCCACTGTCAACATCTTCACCTTGGGGCAAGGAAAGAACCGTGATCAAAAAATGCTGTTAAGGATACAGAAGGAGAGAAAAGAAAGGAAGCTCCTACAGCCACAGATGAGATAAAGATGAGCTGTGTAAATCTCTAGACCAACCCCAACACACAAGCAAACCACATGGGAAGGTAGTCCTCTTAAAGGCACCAATGAAGCAGGTGTGCCACAGCATTCTCTACAGCACCACAAGAGATCCTGTGACACACCTCTCAAGAAGGCAAGCAAGTGTTAAGACTCCACACAGGTCAAACCCTAGCAGCTGGAATCCAGGAAAGCTAAATCCAGCTTCCCCTCCGGCTGTCTTCAGAAACCCTCTATTGCATTTTTCTGAAATCCCTGCATCGCTTTCCTCCTCCTGTCCCACAGCTTCTCCATCCCAAATGCATCTCTACTCTCACCTGCCCTCCACAGCCTCTGGTTTCGTTCTCATCCTCCAGTCTCCCACAATACTGGAAACGGCCACTCCCTCATCAAATTACTGTCCACTCCCTCCTTTGGCCATCACCTGTTCAAAGCTTTTCTTGAACCCAGCTAGACAATGGGCTACTGACAACCCTGCACTGTGGTTCCACTTTTTTGGGGTTGCTGAGTTGGACTATAAGGAAGGCCGAGCGCCGAAGAATAGATTCTTTTGAACTATGGTGCTGGAGAAGACTCTTGAGAGTCCCTTGGACTGCAAGAAGATCAAATCAGTCAATCCTAAAATAAATCAACTCTGATTGTTCCCTGGAAGGCCAGATAATGAAACTGAAGCTCAAATACTTTGGCCACCAAATGAGAAGGGAGCACTCACTGGAGAAGACCCTGATGCTGGGAAAGATTGAAGGTCAAAGAAGACGGGGACGGCAAAGGATGAGATGGTTAGACAGTGTCATCGATGCAACTAACATGAAATTGAGCCAACTTCAGAGGACGGCGGAAGACAGGAGGGCCTGGCGTGATCTGGTCCATGGGGTCGCAAAGAGTCGGACTCGACTGTGCGACTGAACAACAACAACAACTAGCCCCTAACAGAGCAGAATTACACACAAGTTATGCAGACGTGTAAATGCCTTATCAGACTATAAGCACAGACTCAAATTTGGCACTCGCACGTTGTTACAACCTCTGCAGATCCACATTCCCTGGCCAATAAAGGTCCAGCATCCAGGCTACAAAATTGGGGAACAAGGAGTGGGACATGTGAAATGAAGGGAAGTCTGGACTGGGGCTCCATGGGAACCTTATAGTGTCATGATGGCCTCTACCCAACCACTTGCAGCTCCTCCACAATCAGTGGGCCTTTTAAAACGGTCCTCTGCAACAGAAGAGGCAAGGGGCCGGCTTATGGGAGGCAGACGGAAACCTAAATCATGAATCCCAGTGATTTCTTGATTTCCAGAGTCTGTGGCAGGATAACCGGTAGACAACTAAGCCATGGCTCCTGCCAAAATATCCTCCCAGTTCCTGCAAAGCTAATGCTGTGAGATGCAAAGCAAAGGCGTCTGGGTCACAAATAATCTCAGAAGGGGCAATACCCCACTGCTGCCAGGGCTGAATGGGAAGGCTGCAATTGTCCCTAGTTTACCTAGAATTACTATGAATGGAAGTTCTTGAGAACTCTTATTTGCCCTTCCATCATGTCGTCAGGTCAAAATATTCATACATACACTTCCTGGCTTGGGGGAAAAAAATCCTCGCTGTGCTGTGAGGGCCTCCAGTGCCCAATTCCTAGCTCTCTGATGTAATTGGAAAGACTTCTTCTTCCAGGCTCAAGAGATTACATCACTCGCCCGAGGTAACAGAGGAAGTCTGCAGAGCGGCCAAAATACAACCCCAGGAGGTGAAGCTGGATGGCTCTGTCCCCTCTTGGAAATGAGCCACTTTCTGTACTCAACCCTGGGCTGATCTCTGGCACTCCAGACTTCACAACATGGTCACTCATTCTGGGTAGGGGGAAATAAAAAAAAGGCCTCAACAGTCAGTGGATTCATTTAGATTCTGAAGTTTTTTAAAAGTACCTCTGGGTTTTTGTGATCTTGAAGGAAAAGCATAATTCTGTTCCCAATTAAAGAGAACAGGTTACAGTTACAGCTCATAGAATCATAGTTGGAAGGGACCTCCAGGGTCATCTAGTCCAACCCCCTGCATGATGCAGGAAATTCACAAATACAACCCCCCACACATCCCCAGTAACCCCTGTTCCATGCCCAAAAGATAGCCAAAAAAAAAACCCCCACCAAAACCCCTGGCCAAACTGGCCTGGAGAAAATTTGCTTCCTGACCCCAAAGTGGCAATCAGCATTTCCCCAAACTATCTAAGATCCATTTTTGCTCAGAGCCCTTGAGGGCTGAAAGAATGTGCTCTATGTGAGCTATGCCTTCTCTCAAATACCAAGCTAATGAATATGCAATCCACAAAGCATTTCTCCTATGCATGTTCCACAGGAGCCTTGGACAAGTCCCTCTGGTAAAGAATGAATGTTGAGCGGCAGTGGTGCTGGGAGGTGCTGAGGAGGGACACCTGCTCCCCTGGGTGACCTGGGTGGAGCTTTCTCAGTTTGCACAGCTAACTCCCCACTGTTGCCCATAAATGTTTAAGCTTCATGTTCCACCCTTCTTTCCACTCCATTATCCCAAACTCATTAGAAAAAGATTACACATACTACTCTACTCAGAAGACTGCAGACTGAGTGGATCTATGGTCTACTCATCTGCATCATTTTGTTCTAAATACAGAAACTGGGGGCAGGTGGCAATTAGCAAGTGGCAATTTTTAGCACTGCTCTATAGTGAAGGCACGTTGGCTCTGATCGGGTGGGTTCACCTGTACTTTCTGGACCAAAACGGGAAGGTATTTTTTGCAAATAAAATTTGGTGTTAGGATCTTTATGGTTTTTATTTGCTACAATTTAGTATTTGTGTCTTTATTTTTTCTTCAGGCATGCACATGCAACATTACTCAGCTTGTATGCATGTGTAATTGACAAGAGGCTAGTTTCAAGGAGGCCTCACAAATAAAAATTTTCTTGTGTCATTTGATTCCATATTGGCAGTAAGTACAAAAATACCAGATTTCAGTAATAATTATTACTATTGGCTATATTATTCCAATTTATTATTTTAATAATTTTTTTTTTCTTTCTTCCCTAACATAATTCCTTTTAGGGTCCTATACCCAGTAGAGAGTATGGGAGCGGATATAAAAGCGAAAATGAAATTAATACCATTCTCAAAGCTGGGGACCTCCAGAAATGGCATGAAAGGAAGAGGATTTATAGTGTATGAACTGAGAGTGTTAACAGCAACCCGAAGGAGGATCTAACAAGCCGGAAGGAGAAGACAACAGAGGAAGCTCCTCCACATCAGCGATAGTAAAAGTACCCAGCACGCAAAGAAGCGGTTCTGAATGTGCCCAGAAGAGATTTTTTTTTATTAACAGAAATTCAAAGGAACATTACTAACATATTAACAGAGAATTACACGTGACCGGACTAAGAAAAGAAGTTTGACAACACACAGAAGAAGCCCAAGAAGATTAATTGGACATTACTAACAGTTTAATTTACCAGTTTATATATCACTCAGCTTTCTCTTTCTCCCACTGTCTACCCTTCCCATTTTTTCTTTTAAGCGAAATACCTCCCCTTTTTAGGGGAGTCAATAAATTTTTATTTTTTAAAAAAAGAATTCCTTTTAGGGTCCTATATCAACTTGTTAACGGCCTTTTGATTGTAACAGGAGCCCATATGTACCTTTTCATGTCTGACCTCTGAGGAAGGCCCTTCTGAGACAAAATGCATTAGGTCTTGGTGTTTCCTCCTTTGCACGTGTCACCTTTATCATGTTCTGTGGCTCGCTTTGGGCCCTTGTATGTTTTTAAAAGTTTCTCCAATAAATACATGTATTTTTACTTATGTCTAAATTTACGTTTTAACTACTGGCCCTTACTTGATTTCTAACTTGCCTTCGAGGTTCTTGACTGCAATTAGCAAGAACAACAGAGCTTCTGGCAGCAATAATGCAATGTCAAAGTAGATACGTGAAGACACAGGTGTGCACACACTTGTTACTACAACATATGGGAACACAGGAAGGGTGGACTGGGAAGAAAAAACAGCCCAGCAAAGGGGCCCCACCCCCTGGCAATCCCTCCCCCAGGAAAGAGGGAGAGTGAGCCTGCCTGCCCAACCAGCACCAGGCACAGCCCACCACTGGCCTGGCCTGGCCCCGGGGGGGGGGGAGCCAATGGCCCACCCAGAAGAGTCCCAGCAGACATTATGGCCAGCTTACATCATTATTTTTTACACCTTCTTTCATGAAGGCAGCTTAACTGGGCAACAACTCCTTCTGTATGGGTGCTGAATAGGTATGCAGCTTTATATTGCTAATGCAGTCCTCCTTAAGCAATTCCTGGTCCTTCCATGCCTCGCATAAAGTAACGGAGAGACTCAGAGAGGTGCCTGCACGAATCTGCCTTTCATGGAAAATCCCACGCCCCTTTCTAAGGGTCATAGCTGCAAAGCTAGTTCCTTGGGAAGCGTGCCAAAGCTCTGGAGACGGAAGGTGGGCGCCTTTGGAGAAGCTGGCAAGAACACACACACTTACGTCCTTCTGTCTGTGGAACCCGATCTGTCCCACGTCCATGTCTGCTGTTTTCTTTAGATTAGTCCATGGGGTGTACACAACGTTGACATTGTTCATTTTGCAGCCTGGAAATGCGGGAGGGGGGGAGAGAAGAGGGAAAAAGTCATTCCTTTCACAAAGGGCAGAAGAAGCCAAGTCAATATTTTTCTCTCTGTGTATTCACTCCACATTAGAATTCTTTCAGTTGTAACAATACAATGTCTGCAGTTATTCTTTGAGAGACGGGAAATTCTACAGTGGTGTTCTGGTGGAACGACTGTTATTGATTGGGAGGAAAAGAAGCAAGTCTGGCACAGCTCTTGCTCTGTTGTCCAAGACAGCAAGGCTACATCACTCACTGGTGCAAACCTAAGGGCTAAAGCAGAGCTAAACTGGTCCAAAAGGGCACAAGCTACAAAGGGACCTTCGAGTCCCCTTTCCCCTACCTCAAGTGGCTCAGGCTGCCACAAGAAAGCAACACAAAGGACTCGAGGTTTATTAAAGGATGCTCAAGATGAAAATTTTGAACAGCAACAGCAGTCACAGAACAAGAAATCTACTTCATATGAAACAGCAAAAGATGAAATGCACTCCCAAACTTAACGGCTGCAACCCAGTCAGAGTAACTGTATGTACAAAGCCCCTTTCATGCTATGGATTCTTGTTCTCTTCTGAGGAAGGGCCACATCTACTCATAGGAGCAAGCCCATCCAGTACATCACAAATCTGGAATTCCATTCTTTTGGAGGCCTCACATAGAATTCCCCTGTTTTGGAGGGCTTGGTACCAGAGCCTTGGTACTGTTCAGACACTTCTGCTTGCACTAGCCTTTGGTAGACAGGGTCAGGGTCTTATCGCTTGATGTAGCATTTTCCATCAAGCATGAACTTCCATTCATTGCCTGTTATGCTTTTTAAGACCTAGTGCTCAGGGGTGGGGTGGGATAAACACAGTCCAAGACACGTAAGGTCCAAATTGGCAGGCAACACAGGGCTCAACGTCGCCTCACTGCACATGACATCCAGACAACTCCTATATAAAGCTTTCCAGCATCTCACACTAAGTCTTTCCAAAAGCCTTGAGGCTCAAAACCACCTCTAGTAGAGACTCACCTATCTTCCTCTTTAAGTTCTTGACAAACAGGTACAGTGACTTTTCTGGGGCACATCAACCCACATGGATCATGGTTCTAAAGCTCCTCATGATCTGCTGCTTCAGGGTGCCCTAAATTCCAAGTCCTCCCCCCCCATTGCCCTCCCCTTTGAATTCTTGCTCAACTTATCAGTATCGTCACCAGTACAATGACCCTAACATCTCAGCGTCTTACCTTGAATACTGTTGGCCTTCACCAGGTGTGCACAATCTATCAAAACCTCTTTCGGAATTTCATCCATTGTTTGCCCCTAAAACAATCCAAGGTTGACATGAGAAACATGAGTAGCAGCAGACAAAAAAGCATGCTGTGAATACAACCTCGCCCCCAAACGTAGCAAGGGGCCTTTCCACTGTCCAAACTATTAATGGACTATGTTCTACTACTACTACTACTTCAGCCTTTCAATTTGTTCATGCACTTCTTCCCCATAGTAATCCTTACCACAGTCCTGTAAGGCAGGCCAACATATTTCCCTCCTATCACTGAAGGTGAGAGATAACTTGGTGGCCAAGATGACATCTGAACCAGGGACTTAAGTCCTCCCTTTCTTTTACTTCCCTCTGAAGTTGTCACAAAGAAGCTCAGTCCAGCCTCCATTATGGCAACTAATATTTAGGAACTTTAATGATTATAAGTTGCCTTTGAACGACAAATACAAGATAGAGCCTCTCATTCTTCTTCTCTGGCAACCTCAGGCCGGCACACCATGTCCCTCCCCACCCAGAGCCACTGCAAACCTAACTTCCAATCGGCCACATTAGGTCTGCCGAGCCTTTTCATTCTGCCATCCCACTGAGCCATGGCTACATCTTTCCCTCACTGTCCCATGCGTTAATGCTTCTGACCTTCGTGAATGCATGCAGTTAAATGAGGTGGCATGGCAGAACTCTGGGTGGAGTGTGCCAGTTTGGAATGGTCTCCCAGATAAACAATTCTGGGCAATACAAAACAAGCACAAGGGAAGCGTTCATTCCACCTGCTTCCACTTGCACAGGTTTACTATTTTAGAGGCGCATTCAAAAACAGCACATTCTGTTCTTCCACCTTATTCCTGCTGCATGAGCAGACCCAGCCATTAACGGCTTCCAGCACCTTGGGCCCAGCTGGCGTGTGAGTAGCAAGCCCACAGCTCAACCGAGCAATGTTGCCTATCAAGGAGGAGGAGAAGCAGAGTACTGCAGTTACCTTGTGTAGCCTGAGGTAGACATGAGCAGAGGAGAGCTTGTCCACATGAAACCTACACAACACAGCACAGATTCAACTGAGGCGATGATTCAGTCCAAAAGCAATGTTTCCATACATGCTGCCATTAACAGGCTGGCTGCCAACCTGAATCTGAGCATCGTAAAGCATGCAATATCTGATAGCGTGAGAAGTGATTCTTATGGCTTATCATGCTCACATCTCTAAGCAAATATTCCTACAGCCCGAAAAGGAGGAAACTGAAAAGGCTGACGGAAGCATCTGCTAAAACGGCCAATGTTTTCCTTGTGTTATATAAAAAAAAAATGTAAAGATGTGTGGCCAACTGCTCCCTCTAGTGATCTCAGCACTCAGTCAATGAGATCAGGTCTGAAAGTGTTCCTTTACAAGATCCTCTAGGCATTCCCCCGCCAAGAAATAACAGCCAGTTAATGAATCATCCCAGATACATTAAGTTTCAATATCTTCCAATCTCTCATACTTCTTAACCGAGTTGGGTAGTTTGTCCTAATTTCCAGCTACATGAAGAGAAATTACTTGGGGACTGAGAAATGTCAATCCACTTCAGACACCGCTGCTTACCCAGGACTCAACACTTTTTGTAAGTTCTGTGTGCAGGTATATATATTTATATTTTCCGCACTGGCACTTTGACTACGGAAACCCGTCCCAACATCTGGCTTCCTCTGCTTTCATGCATTAGATTTAAACATTCATACTGAGCCAGGATTTGGTTAAATAATGTGTGCATGTTTGATTTCATTTTTTGTTCCTTTCGCCTTGCTTAAGAGTTGTTAACTACTAGGTTGTTCCCTCGCATTGATTGTTATTATTGATGCTTTAACTGATTTTTGATGTTTTAATGCCATATCAAAAGCCCTCAACTGAGAGGCAGGATTAAAAACCAAATTAAATCAAAAGCACACACACAGAGCAGAGGGCTGACAAATCCAGCATCTCATTAAACCTGGGACCTCAGCAACTCTCAGAGTAATGCAAGCATCCCAAAGATCCATCCCAGGAAGGCATTTCAGTAAGGTGAGTATGGCAGGTCAAACCCAGTTTAAATGACACTGAACACATGCAATCTCATGCAGGTAAGTTCTTCTTGCCTGCCAGCCCCAGATTTAAATTGAGCCAAAGATGTGACACTCAAAGGAAGAGTCTATAGAGAATTACTAATACAGGCACCAGATGTGGCTCTTCGCAAACACCATCAGGTCCTTATGGGACCCACACTGCCAGAACTAGGGACGGGATCCTGAAGTCATTTTTAGGACAACATAGTCAGCCCAATTTAAATGGGATTATGTACAAATGAGCAGATCCAGCCAACATTATCTGTGGGTAGACAGCGCCAGGTGTCCTGCCAATTCACTTGCGTAATATACAGATGGTTCAAGTAAACTCTCCCACTAGTTCTACTAAAGTCTACCAGAAGGCTCCCTCTCCCTTTGAACCTTTTTGAATCCTCTATGTCTAAGACTACCACTACCTTCTTTCCTAAGCATGCCATAAACCTGATGGTTTTTCACCCCTTCAGCTGCCGCGGTCAGTTGGAATTAAACAGAAAAATGTAAAATAGGACATTCTAACAACCAGTGTTCCCTCTAAGCTGAGTTAGTGTGAGCTAGCTCACAGTTTTTTAGCCTCTGGCTCACACATTTTTGTCTTAGCTCAGGAAGGATGGTTCCAGAGTAACCTAATTTATGCAGTAGCCAAATCGCTTGCTCACAACTTTGATGCCAGCTGCTCACAAAGTAGAATTTTTGCTCACAGGACTCCACAGCTTAGAGGGAACATTGCTAACAACCACAGTAATTTGGTAAGACCCCAAAAGGTGCAACCAGGACTGGGATGTTCTTGTCACTGGAAGACATTTGAAAAAGGGAGCAGAACCAAAGAAAATAGAATGGTTGAATGTTGACTATTTGTTTAACACTTCCTACACCTAGAAAACTAGGACATCAAGGTGAAATGTCTCAGACCTGTCTGTGGTGCGGTGGATGTTTACATGCACAGAGAGGTTCCCTTTTTGCTTTTTTCAGCAGGTGTCTGCAGGTGTGGAACTTTTCCTCACTTCAAAAATAAATCAGCTAACTTAGTGATTTTTTTTAAATGTAAAGAATTTTTAACAATGGAATGTAAGGTATTCCATAAATGTTTCACTGAATAGTTATGCTCTTTAACTTTTATCTGGAGCACAAGGGTCGCCTATAGTTTCAAGTTTTTTGGGTTTTTTAAAATTGAAACAGAATGAAATCAAAGTAACAATTATTAAACAAATGTCCATTGCAAGAGGCTTTCTGCTCAAGTGTGCATAGTGTTATAGCAGGTGGTCAGTAGGAGTAGCTGGGCCATGATTTCATTTATTGTCATTTTTAGAAGCACTCTAACAGTGATCAAGCAGCCTTCAATGCCTGCCCTAACAAATGACTGCATCACAGAAGAAAGAAGGTAGGCTGCCACCTACATATGGGCATGCTTCACTTTCTTCAATTACCTGACAATATTTGACCACCAGCAGATAACAGGAAGTCAATCAACAATACCAACCCAGTTAACTGAACAGTGTGCTAACCCTAAGGCAACTGAAGAGGATGCTTATAGGACTTACCAAATGTCTTCTGGCCAGCCATACTTTATTAGGTCTTCATCTAACCAAAAAAACAAACACAAAGTCAATTCTGAGTAGACAATTCTCAGATCAAGAGATGACCCTTTTCTGCCACATTTATTATTTGAACAGAGTACATTGCAGACTGCAGCCTATGTCAAAGATCTCTTTTGGGGAGAGGGGGAGAAGGAACCCAATAGAGAGCTCTCAGGAAATAACCTGTTACTCAGTCTGAATTCTGAGTGATGGCCTCTCATTAGATAAGATACGAGCTGCAGTCCTGATGAAGAGTTGATTGGGACATCATGATACCAGCATCTCTAAAGACTGGTGCATGCATATTTTCCATAATCACATCAGGGATGGAAGTGCTCTGTGGTACGGACAAAACGTCCTAGAACAATGAGATTCAAATTTTTCTATTCAGTGTTTCTACACTGTCCATATTTCAATAAGCTTTTTGAAAATCCAAGCAAAATATTTTGCTAACAGTTTAGAAACAAGTTAAATGTCTAATTTAGCTTATATTAAAAAATACACGAAGATACCACATACCAAGCCAGACTGCAACTAAGTAATACATACTGTGACACACAGCAGCACCCTACATTGTTAGGAAGAATTCTTTCTCAGTTGTGAAACCTTTACTTGACAATCACAGAGAGCACACCCAGGACTATAGGTATACAATGCATGTACTACCACTGAGCCACAGACCAGCTCCATTAAACACAGGAATCCATCTCATGCTAAGCCAGACCATAGCCCCGTACTGTCTCTTCTCGAACCAGAACAGATTGCCAAGGCACAGAAAAATCTCTTGCAACCCAGGAACACAAGGTCCTTTTTATTTGTGGATTGAACCTAGGACCTCATGCATACAAAACCTGTGCTATCACAGCCAGTAATGCTACTCCACCCAGTATTTCCTGGAAAGAATAAGCAATTTACACCTGAAATTTAGAGATGAGTTAGAATTACAGGATGAGAACAACAACAAAAAAGAAGCCCTAAAGTTTTTGGCTTGGATCCAGAGTTGCATAAATAGAGCTCAACAAGAGGAAAGGAACATTCCATAATCCATCTTGAGTCCCAGTAAGAAAGGGGAGCTATAAAGGAAATTATTATTACGAATTTTTCTTGCCACTCCACCCCTTGAACTGCAGTCTCCAAGGATCAAGGGGTGCAAGGAACAGCACTGGCTACAGTGGGGGGGGCTGCAGTGGAAGAGGGGAGTTGGCAAAAGCTGTATCCTTTCCTACTTGAACTGAGTACAGCATCATGCCAATGTAATCATTTGTAGGAAGGAATGAACACTCTTATGGTGTAACCCTACCTATAATTCTGTGTGATTATACTTCCTGACATAGCAATGGTGGTTGTGAAGCTGGCATGCATCTAGCCATTCTAAAGAGACATGAACATGGAACGCACAATGTACAGCCTTCATCAGGAGACGGGACAGCTTTTGTCACTTCAACTTCCATTTAACAAGAGTGAATGAGCTCTCTAAGAAGATGCATAACACACTGGAACATCAAATTTTAAATAAAGGCCTTGGGGTCTCTGGTTAAAACAAAGTGTATAAAACTGACCTTATTTTGTTAGACAGCGTCAAGAAATTTTATACTCACTTTCATATTTATCTTTTCCCATGTAAATGGTGTAAGCAGAGGGGACAACTGAGGAATAAAAAAGGGAAATAGAAAGTGTTACAGATCAAACCATACACAGATGTGCCACACAAACAGGTATATTCTAGAAATCAGAACCAAAACATTATAATCTATAATACTCTCTTCTAGGGGCTAGAGCAATTGCAAAGTAAAAACCAAAATCGTTTGAAGTATTGTATAATATCAGTAATACATTGCTAGTACTGATGGGCTAAAAAAACTTTTCTTTTTTTTTGCTTCCTAGTTTTGCACATGTGGGAAATGTATTGCAGAAGATACGCAGCCAAAGCACGAGGAAGCTACAAGTTTCTCCAGCAATGTCTGGATGGATAGAATTGTGGAGTTACATTTTCTTTCTCTCTCTTTTTAAAAAGCGAATCTTCCACAATCACATCCTTAACGCTGAGTCCCACTTACTCTTTTGCTGCTGGAAAGGGAGACAACTGTATGGCTAACCCAAAAGCAAAGATGCCAGATGTAATAATGCCCCTTATTTTGCTGCTAAATTATTGATATCTATAATTCAATACTGTACTATTAATTTTGTAGAATACTTTAAACGATTTTTGGTTTTATTGACAATTTTTTAAAGAAACAGAACAGTATGTTTTCCCTCCCTCAAAGTGGTATTGTCCTATCATATGAACACAGTGAAGTGGCATAAGGATTAATGAGCGCTGATCCCATTTTGATTTGTTTTTCAGCTCTGGTCATAAGCCATAGTCACATATACAGGACAGGAATAGAGAAAGTGAATAGAGAGTACTCAGGGAGACCAGAGTGTTCAAGTCTTCACTTTCTTACAAAGGCACTAGTTAACCACCATCTCTTAACCTAAAGTACCTTCAGAGGATAAAACCCCCACACACTCCACCCTATGATCACTGGATGAATAATAATAAGATATATATGCAACAAACATACAAAACACTGCTTGATGGTGTGTGTGTGTGGGGGGGGAAGCCCACAAGCAAGGGGAACATAAGCCTCCTTGCATAATCTGACCAGAAGAATGTGAACGAGAAGTTTAGTGTAGTGATTCAGCGCGCGGAATCTAATCTGAGAGAACCAGGTTTCATCCCCCACTCCTCCACTTGCACCTGCTGGATGACCTTGGGCAAGCCATAGTTCTGTCAGAGCTGTTTTTGAAAAGAGCAGTTTCTGTCAGAGCTCTCTCAGCCCCATCTACCTCACAGGGGGTCTATTGTGGGGAGGGGGAGGGAAAGAAGCCACTCTGAGACTCCTTTGGATAGTGAAGGGTAGGGTATAAATCCAATCTCTTCTTCTTCTTCTATACCAACCATACAAAGAGTAGTTTGGGAAAGGGGGCAAAGAAACAACCATTATTTGGATTATGAGGAATCAGGAGCATTTCCACGACTTTATCCTCGGGTGGGAGATGCTGCAGCCACTTAATTTCTCTCTGTCATGCGGCACTGTTCTGGTTTTTATTACACACACAACTCTATGTAGCCTTCTCCGGTTTGTCCTCACCTCCTTCCTCTCCCATTACAACCTTTCTGTGAAATTTATACTGTTAAGCACCTTGGGACAGGATCCACCCTGCCCCCCCCCCAAAAAAAAGAGCTTCTCTAATCAATAGATCTTAAGCAATAACTAAAAGAGTACTCAGTTTCTAAAGGAAAATATGATGGTAATTTAGCAATCCATAGGGTTATATTCAGATCAATGTCTAGCATCAGATAGGGAATCAAGAGAGAGGTTTTAACGCTTCACTGCCTTCCGTTTTGAGAACAGACTCAGCTACACCAATCAATTCATTATACAGACAGACACAGACAGTCCTCGCATTGAAAAACAAAGGGGGGACTGCCATAAATGACCCCCTACCGTCGCCCTGAGGACAGGGTCAGACCACACTTACCGTTGGACGTGAAGTAAAACACCATGTTAACAGCTGGCACCCGCCTGCAACAAGCACCTCTGTCCCCTTAGAAACGAAGCCAGAAACACTCGTAAGAAGCCGCCGCCAACCCTCCAACTAACCACTTCCGGTTTCCGCTGCGCCGATTTTCCGGAAACGACGCTCCCTAACTTCCTCCCATAGAGTAGAATGCTATGAAGCCGCTACGATTCTCAGTGGATGCGGAGTAGCTTCGCGCTATCCCTTGCCATCTGTATGACGAAAACTCTCTTCGCTTCTGTGCTCCGGATGTGAAAGAAAGCCGGAAGTGATGGTAGAGGCTCTGGGGGTGCGCAAGCGCTGATGTCCAGTGAGAACCTTCCCTGTGCGGGACAAAAGTGGCGGAAGTAAACCGAACAGGTAGATTCGAGTCCAGGAGAAGGGGGGGGGGGTAAACTTTCGAGGCTCAATGCTCCCTTCGTCAGAGCTTTGACTCTTGAAAGCTTATACTCCAAAAATCTTGTTGGTTTCTGTGATGCTACTGAACTCGAATCTAGCTGTTCTATTGCAGACCAACACAGCTACCTTCTGGTCTGTAAGTAAATGGGGATACACTGCTGTTGAAACGTCAAATAAAATGGAATGGGAGCAGAGCTTTTATCTTGTTGCAGGGCCAGGAAGTTACCATGCTCTAACAAATGTAGAGTTCTTCTGCTCCCGTCCTGGCTCCTAGAAAAAGGTCACTGATGAGAGGGAAGAAAGGAGAGAGAAGTTCAAAGCTGGCATTTTCATTGGTTTTGTGTAGAGATAAGAGTTCTAAAGATATGAGTTGCTTTTCTGTCTCTTGTCAGTCCAAGCACTGCTTGGTGGTGGAACACATGTTAGGCATGCAGAAGGTATCAGGTCCAACTCCCTGGCATCTCCAAGGAGTTTCTAGTTTGAGAAGGACTCCCACCCCACCACCCACTTCTTTGCCTGAAACTGAAGACTGTAGCAGCCAATCACAGAAGAAATGGCAATATGGAACTATGGCTTGTAGTAGAATACTTTGTCATGCATTCATTGATGTACCTACTGTATTGGAGAGGGATGGATGCAGTATGTGCTTTGCATGCAAAGGTTCCAGGTTCAGTACCTGATATCTCCAGTTGAAGAATCTGGAATAACAGATGGCTGAGATGGCCCTTTCTGCAGCTAAGACCCTGGCTAGTCGGTGTTAGTTGGGGCATAAAACAGCAAGCTGGACTAACCAGTGATCTGAATCAGTGGCCTAGATCAGACAAGGAACAATATGCTTGATATCTCCACCGACCTGGCATTCCAGACCCTCCTCAGTGCGAGAGGTATTCATACATCTGATCTGATGCACATCAGCCCTGTCTCTGTACACTGCTGACATCCTATCTACAGCAAATCAGATATTATGGCAACACATGGACATGGTGGAGGTAGTGCCAGCATGCCGAAGAAGTGGGAAGGGAAGGCACCTTGGTTTCTCCCAGGCTTCTATAGGAATTTGTTTCATTTCCAAGCAGCCCACCAGAAGGCATTAAAGAAATGGTCACTTACAGGGTGATCCTTGGGGACTGTCTCCAGATGACAAGACAGAATGCCTTGGGAGATCATAATGCTTTATTTCCTCAGGATTAATAACAAGTCCCGAGGGGAATACACAGATGTACAACACGTTCACATAGATCAAGATGGGTAGCCGTGTTAGTCTGTCTGTAGCAGTAGAAAAGAGTAAGAGTCCAGTAGCACCTTAAAGACTGACGAAATTTGTGGTGGAGTATGAATTTTTTTTGAGTCACTGCTCACTTCTTCAGATACAGAAAATCCTGATTAAAACTGGTGGTGTGTCAAAAGGAAAACTCCTTAACTGTACATGGCAGACTGGTTGTGAGGACCAGGAGTGACAGTTAGCCCACCCCAGAGTCTACATTTGAGCAGCTTTACCTTGTGATACCCAAGCAATACCATGACAGTGAGCAGTAGCTAAGAAGTCTGAGAAGTTAGGGGAATCCACCGTGTGTGGAAAGTTATTTATTAAGTTAGATTCAGGTGGGTAGCCATGTTGGTCTGAAGCAACAGAACAAAATTTGTGTCCAGGGGCACCTTTAAGACCAACAAAGTTTTATTCAAGGTATAAGCTTTCATGTGCATGTAGACTTCTTCATATACATTGAAATAGAAGTTACCAGCCCATACACGTAGGTAGAGGGTGAGCAGCAAATTAGCATACAACATAATGAAGATGTTTAACAGATGCAAGGACCAAACAGGAATAACAAGCTTAGTTTTTTGGTCACCATTTGTTTGGACCCATGGATCTCTCACCCTTTATTACTACGGCCTGTAAATCTCACTGTTGTTCTTTATCATTCACAGGGATCCTACTGTCCCTACTACAGGAGTATTTCCCCCAGTGTATGTCTGCAATTTTACGTTCACATTTTCCAGGGCTTTGAGGGCTACTTTGCTCTTTTGATAAGTATTTTCATTAATCACAGTCACTGGAGCCCCTGTATCTTGGTCTGGGGCAAGTGATGCTCTGTATTCTTGGTGCTTGGGAGGAGGGCAACAGTGGGAGGACTTCTAGTGTTCTGGCCCCACTGGTGGACCTCCTGATGGCACCTGGTATTTCTGACCACTGTGTGACACAGAGTGTTGGACTGGATGGGCCATTGGCCTGATCCAACATTGGCTTCTCTTATGTTCTTATCTATCTCATGCGTACTGGTTTGTTATTCAGTTCCACGGTAATTGTATAGGCCAAAGTTCTACTCTTTTTGCCTTTATAGAATACATTTGAGTAGGAGCCGCCACCATCACTGTACCATCACCGCGCTGCCAATTTTGGCAGTGCGAGCTGGCCCTGGAACTGAAGATAGCACAGACTGATCAAGTAGAGCTAGTAGAATTTTGAAACATTGTATTGGAGACCCCATCTTGGATGTTGGTTTGTGAGCACCGATTTTAAATGTATAATGTAATCGTTTGGTTTATCTGGTTTTTATTGTTATGTATGGCAATTGCCTCCTGTCAGCCGCCCTGAGCCCATGTGGAAGGGCGGGATATAAGTCAAATAAATAAATAGTGTGGACAAGGCATTCTTCCCCTTCTGCCTCTTCCAAATAGCAAGCTTCTAGCTTCTTTCCTTTGTCTTTAGGAGGAGGTGTGTTTCTCTGTGGGCTGAGTTGCACCCTCTGAGAACTGCCTCTACATTTTCTGGGCCAGATGTCCCACTTTTAAACATTTATGGCACTGAGATCCTTTCTGTCTACAAACCAAGGCTGAGTGACTTCCTCCACACCTGAAACATCCCTCTAGGGCTGGAGGGGTTTGCTTCTGGCTTTGTATTTTATTGGGGGGGGTCAATAGTGTGAGGGCTCCCAGTGTCCTGGCCCCACTGCGGGACCTCCTGATGGCACCTGGTATTTTTGGCCACTGTGTGACAGAGTGTTGGACTGGATGGGCCTAATCCAATATTGGCTTCTCTTACGTTCTTAAGGGGTTCACCTGAATGTCCTTGTTGTCTAGGTGTAAATCCTTAACGTTTTTCCTTGCTGCCTCCATGGCTGTTGCCAGTTCTACAGCTTTTGGCCCAAATCAGGTTTCCTTCTGACAATAACTACCTTTGAATTTTCTCATCCTGCACTCCACACACAAAGAAGTCATGTTGGGGACCCCTGGGCTATACATTCTAACTATCTCTCTTTAGTGATGTGAGCCACTCTGGGAGACAATTTCTGAAAAGTAAGGTAAGAGACAAAGAAAAAACAATGGTGCAGTAGGGGGAAAATATTCCAAATATCAATACCCCTACACATTTTGAGCCACGTTTGGTGTGAAGTGTGTAGGGGTACTGATATTTGGAATAATTTTCCCTCCACTGCACTATCGGGGGGGGGGGGGGTTCCATCTCTTTGCTCCAGTTGGTGTGATCCTTCATTCTCATTTTACTGAATATGGTAAAAATATAAGAATAATGTACGGTAAGTAGGATAAAAAGAATGATGACCAGATTCTTCCCTAGAGATTACGTTGATTCTTGTATGGTTGCCAGTTCCAGGTTGGGAAACTCCTGGAGATTTGGGGATGAAGGCTGGTGAGGACAGGGATCTCAGTGGGGTATAATGCCACAGAGTTCATCCTTCAAAGCATCCATTTTCTCCTGGGAAACTGGTCTCTGTAGTCTGGAGATGAGGTGTAATTCTGGGGCATCCCAGGTACCTCCTGGAGGTTGGCATCCCTAGATTCTTGAGATGATGGGATGTTCTGGGATATTCAGTTTATTAATCGGATGGCCAACTCACACACAATGTACATTGTAATGGGAGCTCTAAGATGTGTGCAGGCCAATTTACCTTGGAACTTTGACACAGAAGTAGAATGGGTTTCAGCCTTCTGTGGAACTGTTTTCCTCATGTAAAATAACCCAGCGGAGGTGCAGTTTGTCCACTGGGGGAATTTTCATTGCCGGAAGCAAGTAAAATGATGAGGAAGATGGCGTTCAGCATATAACAGTGTCTTTCACCACTATGTCCCACTCATCTAGTTTTAGGAGTCTTCTTGATCAGGGAGTATAATTTCTATGCAGGCAGGCTTGTGCTGAACACCATGTCCTCCCATTTTAGGTTCTAAGCCCTTATATGGACCCTGGCTGGATGGGAGAAGCCACACAGTAGATGGACAGGCAGAGGTATCAATGATCCAACTAGCCAGGGATGCAAGAAGACCCTGCAGCCAAGCCAGGGTGGGCTGCAAAAGACATTTGTGATGCAGGCATGACCTCAGGAGGGGGAAGACTTGAGATTTCCCAGCCTGGTGGCTGTCAGAGCAGTTGCTGTTATTCCAACCTGGCCCAGGACCATGCTGATGTTTCTGTTTGATGACATCCCAAACACCTGCCACTTACTGCTGGGCCTTTTGTTTCTGATCGCCACTCGCTGGACCATCCATACAATTAAAGAATTTCGGGTAAGAGGCAGGCTTTGGATCACACTCAGTTCAGGATTCTGGCTTTGGGCATTGAGCAGGATGTGTTATAGAAACTAGAAATTAAGGACTGGTTCACTCTGTGTACTTATTTGTTCTATGTGAGCAGGAATTCAGGTCATGTATTTGGGATCCTGGTATTAATTACAGAAGGACA